AAAAATTAAAAACTATGGCGTTTGACTTTTTTGCAGTTTTTTATCTCACCCTGTATATTCTTGATCATTGTAATATTCTAAGACGATTTAGCCTTTTACCTAAGTTATTTATCGGATTTTTTCAAGTTTCGTATTTGAATATTGTAATGGCTTATGGCAAAAGTTGTCAATGCAGGTCCACGTCTTAGTATAGATTTTTTAAGATTTTAATAAAATTTTAACGGTTTTTTTTAAGTTCCAAATTCGTTTCAAATAGTTGAGGGCATTCAAAATTCGGCCAGACCGAACTTGTGTCTGACATGAGTATTTCGAGGAGTTACAACCGGAATGAAAAAGTTAATATACGCTCCATAAAATGATGGAGGGTATAAAAATGCAAAAATCTACAAGTATTCAAAATTTTTTCGTTATCTTAAAGAAAACACCGGTTATCATAGAGAAATTTTTATATTCTTGCAGGTTTAGGAACGGAACATACATTTTTATTAAAACTACAAGATATCATGGTAGAATTAATAAGGTAAAGTCATGCAATCATGTGTTTACAATTTTTTTTTTTCGAAATTATTCATTTGACACAACTCATTGTCAAAATTTATGTTTTTAAATCCATTGTATACACAGAAATCAGAGATGGGGAACTCTTTTTTATTCAGTGAAATTTGACAAGGAAAATTTTCAAAGTTATTCATTGGGCAACTTCTTATTATTGACACCTGTTTTCTAGGCAATGAAGTTTGACAAGGTAAATTACAGCTGAGTCGATCTAGCTACGTAAGTCCGCCCGTCTGTCCAAGTTTATTTGTAATCACTCTACAGGTCGCAATTATTTCCCGATCCTGACGAAATTGTAAATGGAGGTGGGGTTAAGATCAGAATAGAACCATATTGCTTTTGGAGATGATCGCATAATATTTAGGGGTTGAAATGGATCAAAAAATTAAATTTCCTGATTTTGTAGCTGCTCCACAGGTCACAATTATAGACCAATCGAAGCGGAATTTAGCATGGAGCTAAAGCTTTGGGCTGGGCAGTAGCCTTCCAATTTTGATGGTCATCGGGTAATATTTAGTGGTTGAAATAGACTATAACATTTGTGTTAAATTAAAGTCAAAATTTCCATTAAACCGCGAATATCATAAATGTTCGTCTATTTGTGATTTCGCCTGGATTAAAAAGGTCACTTCTGACCGTTGCGTGGATGCCGATAGTAAATATATCGGGTATACATAGCGAAATATGTACAATGTATATAAACAAAGGAAGGGGATGTTAGCTAGAATGCTTATATCTCAAGAATAGCTGGACCGATTTTGTTAATTCAGAATGCCCTCTTGGCATAAAAAAATATAATCTAAAAAAATCGCATAAAAAGAAGCAAATAATGATGTTAACATATATTTTGTAGTATTTTGTTACATATTTTTTTTAAATTTTTTTCATATTTTTTATCTCATGTGATTTTTTCAATTATTATTTAATAATATAATTATTTCTCTAAAATTTATACTAATGCCGATCATGAATATAGGAAGGTCTTAAATATTACCATTGAATTGTTGCAAAAATACTGACAAACAGAATACAGCCTCCTACCAATAGTAGAGGGTGTTTACACGTGTATGTCATAAGCCTCTCATTAGATTTTTTCCTATACATACACACATGTTACTCCGTATCATAAGAGTCAAACACGAGTTCAACGAAATTACCCAGTTTTTTGAGTTTTCAACAAGTTACGGTGACTCATTACCGGCTAATTTTTCAATTGAGTTTACAAATACAAATACTATTCGATGAGCTTGATATGGACACTGGGCGAGAGAGTCAAACGATGTGGCCACTAGGCAAAAAAAAATTACTGCGAAAGGGGGTTTTCAGAAATTGTATGACAGGTAGATGAGAAACATCTAAAAACATTCTAACAGTTTTGTTAGTTGAAAAGTTTGGTCAGTTTTTTTTTTTCGTTGAAAAAACACATTGAATTTAGATTTTTTTTTCATTTTTGGGTTACCTGGTACTTTCACAGGACAAATTCTCTTGAATCAGAGTTGTATTTTACTGCCACATACATAGGGTTGCCCATATTCGACGGACCTTTGGGCCCTTTGGGCTCATTCCAATCGACGAGGCTTGCCCGCAGGCAACATTCTTTGCGTCAATTGAATCTCGTACGGGAACAAATGCAAATCAATGCGAATAATCCGTTGTAAAGTGGACCGAGCCATGCCCAACTGCTGAGAACGGCGTTTTTGGGATGTTCTTGGGGACCTCTCAACACTGGCTCGTACGGCAGCGATATTCTCGGCCGAGCGCCTTGGTCGACTTTTATATGGACTCTTCGGATTAGAAAGAGCCTTACCAGTTGACAATTTTTCGTATAAACGCTTAATGGTGTTCTTAGAAGGCGCACTACTCACATTTTTTTTAATGTTTTAAAAGCACGTTGAGTTTTCACAATTGACTTCTTGTAAATTTCAACTATTTCAGAGCGCTCGCGTGGCGTGTATTTGTTCATGGTAAAAATCTGCTTGGACTGACGCTTCAAACGCGGTATGTCATTAAGCGATGTGACATCTCTGTCAAAAGTTATGGCGTTGCCAGAGGGGTCCGCCGAATATGGGCAACCCGTAGTTAGCTTATTGTTTCCTCACGGCCTATTCATGACTTTACCTTTTTATACCCTCCACCATCCTATGGAGGGTATATTAACTTTGTCATTCCGTTTGTAATAGATAATAGATCCAACATAGTAAATATATTATGGCTCAGCGTAAAATTCTAAGACGATCTAGCGATGTCTGTCCGTCTGTTGTAATCACGCTATCTTTCGAACGAATTGAAGAAAGATAGAAGAAATTTTGCATACATGCATAGTTTATCAGTAGGCAGGTTAAGTTCGTACGTTTTCGTATTATAGCCCCCATATAAGGGTATCTCCCGATATTTTGTATTTTCATGATTTTAGCGACATATTTTACCGAAATTATTTAAAATTTCGTATTCGAAGTTCATAATGGGTAGCCTATGACAACATTTTTATATGCAGCTCCTCGTCTTCGTATAGCCCCCATATAACGGTACCTCCCGATATTCGGTATTTTGATGATCTTAGCGTCATTATTCACCGGAGTAGTTTCAAATTACGTATTCAGATATCGTAATGGGAACTACAGTCTGTGACAGAAAATTGTCTATGTAACTCCAGGTCTTCGTATAGGCCCCATATATCAGTACCTCTCTATATTCGGTATTTTGACGATTTTAGGTGCAATAACCATCAAAATTGTTTGAGATGTGGCATTTGAAGTTCGTAATGGTTGCTACAGCCTGTGACAGAAAATTGTCTATGCAGATCCAGGTCTTTGTATAGCTCCGATATAACGGTACCTTCCTATATATTTGATGATTTTACCTACATTATTCACAGTTTTGAATTTGAATGTGGTAACGGCTTATGACAAACAATGCCTATGTAGGTCCACGTCGTATATACCCCAATATAACGGCTATATTCGCTATTTTTAAATTCTAACAGAATTTTTATATATATATTCGCTATTTTTAAATTCTAACAGAATTTTTAACGGATTTTTTTTTTTTTTTTTTTTTTTGAAAATATCCAAATTCCTTCCAAATGGTAGAGCGTATTCAAAGTTCGGCCAAGCCGAACTTACTGCTTTTTAACTTGTTAATTTTACCATGGTCATAGAGACAAAACAATTTATTTTGAAAAATATTACATGAACTCAGCTGTGCTGTCCTTTGTAAACGCAGGGTAAGTATGGGCATGGTACATGGTAGAAGAATATAGGTAGATGCATCAACACTCTCAAACATTGATATGTCAAAAATTTTTAAAAATATCTCCTAAAAATAAATGGATTTTAAAAGTTTCATGTACGACGCCAATCGGAGGACATGCATTTTTCAATAACTTTTACAAATGTCTATATTTTTCATTCAAAAATTTCAATTCCAAAATTAGTTTGACTGTTCATTGTACCAGCAGCTGTGTTGATGCGCCTACCTGTATCATTTTATCATGACATGGTGCAATAATAACTGGAGATAGATTTTCTTTTGATTATACGTCAACCAAATGGCGTAAAACGCATAATTTCGTAGCTCTTTTATATCAAACATCTACATATATACAAATAAAAAAGCTTGTATGTATACTTAAAGAAGGTTAGATTTAAGAATCGAGTCGATTTAAATGACTAATCTAGATTGGCTATTGGATAAAAATGCCGATCAGCTGATGTTTGTTTACGTACGCATACATATAATCATTGTCTGAATGTAAAATTTAGTCAATGCGACTTTGGAGTGCGCCGAAGTACCAATGTAAAAAACCCAGTGATTCATTCTGTTCTGCTGGGGTTATGTGTCTCCATGTCATCACTTTTATCTACAAATTATGAGATATTATCAACACTTTGTCTTCAAGTTTTAATTTTCTCCAAATAAGAAGAAGCATGAAAAATGACAGTCGATTAACTGTGCTTCTCCTTGAAAAGGAGGGTATATAAACATTGTCATTCCGTTTGTAACATCTCTAAATATTCGTCGTAGACCCCATAAAGTATATATACATTTATAATCAGTATAAAATTCTAAATCGATTTAACGATGTCAGTCTGTTGAAATCACGATACAGACTTAATATACCCTCTATACTATGGTGGAGAGCATTGCTTGTCAACACTTGCTCAGTAGTACTGGTTATTCACCATTATCATTGCCTGCAGGGGATTTATGCGTAAACGTACTTTAACACCTAAAATCGCCTCTTGTGAGAACTTATTAAATAGAAATTGATTATGGCGACAAATGAATACAATTTTGGGGGAAAAGACACTGAAAAATGCTGGCAACCCTAGAATGAGAAAGCATTTAGTGAGTAATTGAGAGAGCCCAACAATACAAACATATTTCACTTAATGTTAAGATTAAAACAAATTGCCGGCCCCCTTATTCCAAATCTATGAAACTCTCACCTTTAGTTTTTTGTCAAACGTTGTGGCGTGCGGTAAAAAGATAGATTCGAGTTTAACGTACCCACCACCACTTACAAAATAGTTGTTTTGTTTTGCGAGCTGAAAATCCGTGTTGAATTTCAGCGAAATATCGATCAAGTGAAAAATAAACAAAGCCAATAAAACGGCGGGAATGTGAGATATATCTGTATGTAATGAAGATCAGAGTCCAAAAATGAAAGCAAAACAAGAAAAATAAAAATACTGACCAACTTCGGCAAATAATAAATGTTAAATAATGTACATATCTGCTGAATTGGAACTAAAATACCAAAGGAAAACATCAGAAGCGCGTTTAATATAATTTTTCTTTTAGAACAAGAGTTGGACAAGAAAAGAGCCATCGTACGATATTCTATTAGAAATTCGATTTGAAATGAATACTTATGTTAGTTTGTTGTTGTGTGGCCGAGAAATGCCTACCTACTACTTCAAAATGCCAAACAAACAAAAAACGCGACGGCTTCGAAAGTCATTTAATATTTGTTTTTGTTTTTTTTTTAGATGAGATCTGTGTTTTTTTTTTTTTTTTTTTGCAATGCAAACTTAAAGCTTTTGTGGTCTAGGTGATAACCATTGTGTTTTGACCATGGGAAGACTCACTGTGCTTGGGTCCCCAGACAAATCTTAAAAAAAAAACTTCTTTAACAGCTCGTTTTCAACATCAAACGTGTGTACAGTTTGCTAAGCCAAATCAAGTGACGAAATATCATTTCGGAGTTTTTTTTTTTTAAATATTCATAATTGCCGTTAAGTGAAAACTATATGAATACAAATTGAAAAACAGCGTTCAACAGCAAGAAAATAAAATTGAACCGGTTTTGCTTAATTAATTAAAACATTATTCCGATTTTTCTATTGACGTAAGAAATGCAACCTCACAGTACGCCCGTTCCGAATCTTCAATACTAATTTCTATGCCAACAATATATTTCTAAAATTATGTGAATGAAAATTTTAGTAATTTCACACAATCACATTATTATTCAGTCGGACTTATCTAAATCGACCTAAAATTTACGCCGGCAGGGCCTAAAAGGATTATTTTGATGAGTTACAAACGGAATGACTAACTTAATTTACCCTCCATGTCATGGTACAATAAGTAGGTAAAACTACAGAAATACAGCCCCAAATCTATGTCTGCTCTCTGTCAGAATTATTCAAAAATATTTGTTTCCACTTAATTGATATTTTTCCTCATTAAAAAAAAACAGTAAGGAAAAATCAAAAGGCAGGCAGTGCCGACTATATGATACCCTACACCACTATGCATATCTAGTACAGCTCCCGTGACAAAAGAATTTATTTCAAGTATATCTTACCACCTATTAACATTTGGCTTCGGACCAGTTACAGTTTGCTACAGAGTGCATGATATTTTTTGGAGAAGGAATAATTGAAAAATATATATCGGAGCCAAGTAGCACAGAATGGAAACGTACGTCCCGAAATGCATCCCATTTGAGCTGATATTAGCCATTATTTGCACAATAAACTTGAAATCGGATCAAGGATATATATGTGAGGGACTTAAACACCAAATCGTATGAAACATATATATGGGAACTATAGCTATATCTGAACCAATTTTCTCCAAATTTGATGCACTTGCTTCTAGACTGAATTCGATCAGATGTACAAAAATTGAGGACTTTTTGACAGATATTGAAGATATATATGGGACCTATATTCAAATCTGAACCGATCCTGGTAACATTTAGCAGAGGTATTTCCGAGCTCTATAAGATATCTGATACCAAATATCATTGTTGTCGATTGCATATTACGAATTTGAGGGACTTAAACACCAAATCAAGGACTTAAACACCAAACATATATAAGGGGGCTATAGTTATGACTGAACCGATTTTCACCAAATTTAATGTACTTGTTTCCATATTGAATTCGGTCGGATATGCCGAAATGCAGTTAATTTGGGCTGATATTAGCCATTATGTGCACAAATAACCCGAAATCGGTTGAGGATATATATGGGAGCTATATCTAAATCTGAACCGATCTTGACAAAATTTGATACACTTATTTCAGAGCTGTATTTGACATCTGGTACCAAAGATCATTCCTCTGGAGTGCATATTACGCATGTGAGGAACTTAAAACCCCAAATCGGACGAAACATATATATGGGAGCTTTAGCTATATCTGAACCAATTCTCTCCAAATGTTATATACTTGCTGCTATACTGAATTCGGTGGGATGCACCGAAATACAGGTCATTTGGACTTATACTGCCCATTTGGTGCCAAATTAACCCGAAATCGGTTGAAGATATATGGGAGCTATATCTAAATCTGATCCGATTATCACTAACTTCAATAGGATTCGTCCTTGGGCCAAACAAATATTGTTTGCAAAATTTCATCTCAATCGGATAATAACAGCGATCTGCATTTTGTCACAAGAATACATGGACGGACAGACGGAGTGACATGCATAAATTGACTCAGAAAATAAATCTATGAAGATCCTCAAAAGTAACAATGTTCCTATCTCGCTTCCTTCTACATGTTACAAACAAATTCACAGAGACATAATACCTTACCACTATGTGGTGTAGGGTATAAAAATGAAATGCCTGAATTTTCTCTAAAAAATATGATACAAACTGTTCAATCTTTCAATTATATGTCGATACTGGTTAAGGGTGAGAGTGCATAAAACGCTTCTCAAACTTAGTGCATCGTAATATAATGGTCAAACTCAAACAGAGTTCGAAGAAGGGCAAAATCATCCCACTCCTTCAGATACATCCCCCACCAAAGGGCAACATTTTCAAAGAAAATAATTACCTCATAGAAAGAGAAAGGATCATTCGATTTTAAACAAACTTTGTACATCCCAATATTTTTGCCAGTTCTAGGACAGGTGCTAAAATTCACAATATTGGTCCACCACAAAGGTCAAAATTTCGTATAATTATAACTCTTATAAAATATGAACGTACATACAAAAAATTGGCAGAAGTCGGGCACATTTAGGATATAGAAAGTCCTAATGGGTAGAATACACAAAACGCTTTTTTGACTGGCTTAATTCATTGGCTGGCTTCTTCGTAGAGAAACAAAGCAAAGACCTATGTCTTTGAACAAAGGAGTTTTAGGTTGACATAGTTCGATTTTGGCCCTACGCTCCTTTTTTCATTTCCGAAGAAGCCAGCCAATGACTCACCTTAATGGTGCGCTCATAGCATTGAAGGTTAGCCCCATTGCAAAATAATAGATGTAGTCTAACTTTGAATATAGAATTTGGCAAAACTTTTGTCATTTTCCAAAAAGAAACAATTAAAAAGGTTTTGAATACCCTCCACCAATTTGGACTTATTTGGAAATTATCAAAAAATGAAATCCGTTAAAAATTCTGTTAAAATCTTAAAACTACCGAATATAGGGAGTTACAAAGACGTGGACCTGCATAAACAATTTTTTTCAGAGGCTGTAGTACCCATTACGAAGTGCAAATACGAAATTTGAAACAATTCCTGTGAATAATAGCGCTAAAATCATGAAAATACCGAATATAGAGATGTACCGTTATATGGGGCTACACCTAAACGTGGACCTATATAGCTCATTTTTAACACCAAAAGTTCTGAAGACCAAACACACATTTGTGTAAAATTTTATCAACCTTCGATAGGAAGCTAGAATGATTTCCACAGCCGGACAGACAGACAAACGGAGGAACATCGCTAAATCGACATAGAACTTTATGCTGATCAAGAAATGTATACTTTGTGGGGTCTAAAATCTATATTTCGAGGTGGTACAAATGGAATGTCAAATTTAATATACCTTGCATACTATAGTGGAAGGTATAAAAAATGAATACCTAAAATATTTACGTATGACGATTGACATATTTAACAAAAATAACAAATAATCTCGTATTTTTGGTGTTCCTCCATTTACGCTCCATTTCACTATTGACATGTCACAGCTCTCACATAAAACGAAAGTGTGCAGAGTAACTTCAAAAAAACTCGTACTCTTCGAGCACTCCTACTCACGAGTAGAATCAGCCAAATCTGAGCTCTAATATTATTATAAAAAATTATAAATGTATACATATATAATTAGTACTCTTTAGTTTTGCAAAATTTTGTGGATAATAGTTCTATCAGCGTGTGACGTTTTCATTTAGCATAATTTATAAAAAAAAATAATGGTAATTTGTTGTCTCGCCTTTTGACACAAGATTTTTTTTTAACAATAACACATCTATGCAGGCTTTACTTATATACAGTATATCACATGTAATGGAATATTGATCAATATAAAACAATAGCGAGTGGGAAAATTAGTACATATAATTTTTATTTATATTTTTAAATAGAATATTACATAAGATTTTTTATAATTTTTTTTTCAAAAAATTTTTCCTATAATTATATTTATAAATCGAGATAGGACCCTGCTTTCAATAAATTTGATATTGTACATTACGTACAGCTGGATATAATTATTTGCAATGAGACTACCATGGCAAAACAATAGAAGTAAACTCATTTCCTTAATTCAATATGGCAACCCTTTTCTGATGAACTCGACCTTGTCATTATAGCCTAGACCACATAGTGGTAAAGGTATTATGTCTTTGTGCATTTGTTTGTAACATGGAGAAGTTAGCGAGATAGACCCATAGTTACTTTTGAGGATTTTCATAAAATCATCATCAATCTGAGTCCTTTTATGGATATCTGTCCATGTATTTTTGTGATGAAAATGCAGGTCGCATTTATTATCCGATTGAGATGAAGTCTTTCAAACATCATATGTTTGGTTCAAGGATGAACCCTATTGAAATTGGTGAGAACCGCTTCAAATTTAGATATAACTCCTATATATATCTTCAACCGATTTCGGGTTAATTGTGCACCAAATTTCCAATATAAGTCCAAATAAACTGAATTTTGACACTTCCGACCGAATACAGTCTAGAAGCAAGTACATCAAATTTGGCTATAGCTCCCATATATGTTTCAACCGATATGGTGTTTAAGTCACTCACATACGTAATATGTATTTCGCTCATATTGAACTTTGCCTGCCTGCAAAGAAGAAAAAGACACGGCTGTAAATATCACTCGCTGGGTTGCTAGGTGCCACAATGCAAAAAATACATCGTTGTGTTATTTTTTTTTTCTTCTATTTTTTATTTCCATTGAATCGACTTTTTCCATGCGGGTCGGGTTGGGCATAATAAATAAAAAATTCGTATGTAATCTTAATAAAGTTCATTTCTTCTTCGGAAAATTCGTTTTTAAGTTCCTCAAACGTCAACTTAAATTAACAACACTTTACACTTTTTTGAAGCAGTAGAACGAAAAAATTCGTTATGTAAACACGAATTAATGAAAAAATATACAACTTTAATCTAATTTTTACCAGCAAATAAAAATACAAACAATACCAACAAACGAATTGCAAAACGACCAATGGGTTTCTCAGTACAGGTAAATACGATTTTCATTAAGTCACTCAATAGACATATATAATTGGTGGTGGTGGTTGGCTACATTAAGAACCTGGTACAACGAACAGTGGTTCACAACTGCTATTTTTTTTATTTAAAAGACGTTCAAAATAAATCAATCAATCAGTTTGAATAACAATTTTAACTGTATTCGCGAAGTTATTTTTTACCCTTTTGCCTCAGAATAACTACAAATAAACTTAAATATTATTTCCTCATGCAACTATATGCTCTGTTCCAGATCTGCAAGAAAATAAAGATTTTTTATTTTAAAAGGCAGTAAGTTCGGCCGGGCCGAACTTTGAATACCCTCCGCCATTTTTAACAAATTTGAAAATTTTCAAAAAATTAAATCCCTAAAAAATTCTGTCAAAATTTTAAAAATACCGAATATAGCCATTATATTTGTCATAAGCCATTACCATATTCAAATTCGAAACTTGAAATAAACGGTGGAGGTACCGTTATATTGGAGCTTTGCGGAGACTTTGACCAGCATAGACAATTTTCTGTCATAGGCTGTAGCATCCATTACGAACTTCAAATACGACATCTCAAACAATTTCGGTGGGTTTTGCATCGAACTTCGAATACCAAATTTGATACAATTCCGGTTAATTACGTCGCTGAAATCATCAAAACACCGAATATCGGGAGGTACCTACAGTGGCGGACAAAAGTCTACGTACGACCCCCTTTTTTTGATTTTTACCCAACTTAAAACATTTAAAAGAAAAGTAATGATGCGGTTTTGTTTAGAATTTAATTATATTAGAAATAAAACAAAAATAGCGCATATTCAGCTTAAACTATAAAAGTTTTTAATAAAAAACATAAATAAGGCACTGACAAAAGTGTACGTACGTTTTTTATTTTCCTTTTTGTTGATTCATTGTTTTGCTATAAGTTAACGGTAAAGTACCGTTTATTTACTTTAGCGCTTATTCTTTGCATTTTCTTTTTAATTCCTGGAATTGTGTCACTTGAGTAATATTCCGATCGTGATAATGACGTCGCGCACAGAAATTTCTAAAGATTTGCTAAAATTGGTGGTGGAGCACAGGAATAATAAAAAATCTTTTGGCGAAATATCAAAATTATTAAATTTAAGCAAATCCACGGTGCAAACCATATTTAATAATTTCAAACAATCAAGTTGTTTTGAAAGTAAACCGCGCAGTGGCCGTCCTAAGAAATTAAATCGCAGGGAAGTGTCGTTCATCCGCAATGAAGTAGAGAAGAATCCCAAAATACATGCCACTAATTTGGCCCAGGAGCTGGCAGAAAGATCACAAATTGTTGTCCACCCACGCACAATAACCAGGGCACTTAATAATGAAGGATACCGTTGCCGAGTTCCTCGCAAGAAACCCCTTATAAGCGAGAAAAACCGAAAGCTTCGCTTGGAGTTTGCAAACAAGCATCGGGACAAGGGTTTGGAATTCTGGAAATTGGTGCTGTTCACAGATGAGTCCAAGTATAATGTCTTTGGATATGATGGAAAAGCCAAAGTTTGGAGAAAACCAAATACTGCCCTGCAACCGAAGAACATTGTAAGTACGGTAAAACACGGTGGTGGCAGTGTAATGGTCTGGGGAGCGATTGCAGCCTCAGGAGTAGGAAACCTTGTGTTTGTAGAAGGTAATATGGACCGCTTGCAATACAAGCGCATATTGGGACATAATCTGCAGCCATCCGTGGACAAACTAAACCTTGGTGCGAGCTGGATCTTCCAACAGGACAATGATCCTAAGCACACGGCGAAAATTGTTAAAGATTGGCTGCTGTATTATGCCCCACGACAGCTGCATTCACCCCCACAAAGCCCGGACTTAAATATTATTGAGCATGTTTGGGAAATTTTGGACCGAAAAATCCGAAAGCACGCTATTACTAGTGCTGAACTACTCAAAGAGAAGCTGATGGAGGAGTGGCAGAACATCTCGGTGGAAGAGCTAGAAAATTTAGCTGATTCAATGCCTAGAAGACTCCAAGCAGTCATCGATGCTAACGGCGGCCCAACTAAATATTAATTTTGTTATTTATAAGTAAATTCTTTGAATATTCTTTAATTTTTGAGTTCGTACGTACACTTTTGTCAGTGCCTTATTTATGTTTTTTATTAAAAACTTTTATAGTTTAAGCTGAATATGCGCTATTTTTGTTTTATTTCTAATAAAATTAAATTCTAAACAAAACCTCATCATTACTTTTCTTTTAAATGTTTTAAGTTGGGTAAAAATTAAAAAAGGGGGTCGTACGTAGACTTTTGTCCGCCACTGTATATATTTCTGTCTTAGGGTGCAGTATCCATTTCGAACTTCAAATACCAAATTTGGAACAATTCCGTTGAATAATGTCGCTAAAATCATCAAAATACCTAATATCAGGAGGTACCGTTATATGGGGGCTATATGAAAACGTGGACCTACATGGCCCATTTACGAACTTAACCTGTCTACTCGAAAAATAAACATGTGTGCAAAATTTTAGTCTTCTATCTCAATTCGTTTGAAAGATAGCGTGATTACAACAGACAGACGGACAGACAGGCAGACAGACGGACATCGCTAAATCGACTTAGAGTTTTACGCTGATCAACAATATGTATACTTTGTTGGGTCTGACATGAGTATTTCGAGGCAAAGACCTAAAATGGTAAAGACTAGACAAAATGCATTCTGAGCAAATGGTTTGTGGCTATACTACCTTGAATAACAGCTCATTACAGAGGCATGTTAATATATAAACACAATTATAGGAACGAATGACAAGTAAAAGTTTGGATAATCCAAAATATTGGTTTCAAAATTCTATTCCATATACCTTCCCAAATAATTGCATACTGCTTTAGCGGTTTAAATTGCTTAACATTGGTAACTATGTTGTTACGATGTCATAACAACAGAGGTATTTTTCACAGGGTTGCCATATTTTGACTCTGTCTTGTCCCATCTTTATACTTCTATGTCTTTGTTTCGAGGAGTTACAAACGGAATGACAAAGTTAATATACCCTCCATAGTATGGTGGAGGGTATAAAAATTCCAAAACTGGTAGCAACAGACAATCATAGAAACACTTTTTGGATTGTCTTAAGTCATCAGCTGGCTACTTTGTAAAAGATCAGAGGAGCGTAGGGGAGCATGTATAAATCATGGGCCGAAATTGAACTGAGTCAACCTAAAACTACTATGGTCTTTTACGAAGAAGACAAACGATTAAAAATAGCTTTTTATGTATGTAGTCAAACAACATAATTTTTAAGCGAGGAACATCATTTTGTTGCAGTGTAAGTTCTTGCACTTTTTGGAATTTCAATGGCTTTACCCCGAGCTCATTTTTCAATATTTACCGAATGGAATATGGCGATATGTTCAGCTCACGAGCCATTTTTCGGCCACTGCGACGCGGGTTTCGATCAAGTCGCTTTCTTCCGTCCACTTCCTTGACGTCGGGCTACACTACTATTATCACGGTAAAGAATCACACTATCACGCTTAAATGCCATCACAAATAACTTTTTTTCTGGGAAATTCTCACCAAAATGCTTTTGTACGCTTGTAAACAATATAATTAACTGTCGCTGGAATAATTTTAACAGCTGTCGGTTTTTTCATCTCACCCTGTATTTCGTAATGCGTTTCCAATCATAAAAATCTTTAATAATAAGCCCTCTAAAAACTACCGTTGGTACCCTAAATTGGCGGAATTAAAGAGGTAAAGTCATGCAAGCATATGTTTACATTTTCCCGAAAATTATTAAGTTGATAACATGACGTTGTTAAAATAAACAGGTAAAAAAGTGACTAAGTTCGGCCGGGCCGAACCTTAAATACCCTTTAACACAACAATCGTTATGTGGGGACTACACGAAGACGAGGACCTGCACAAGTAAATTTTTGTCATACGCTCTAGTACCGATTCCGAACTTCAAATAGGACATTTAAAACAATTCCGGCGAATAATGTCGCTAATGCCATACAAAACCGAATAAAGGGAGATACCGTTATATGGGGGCTATACAAAGACGTGGACCTGCATAGGAAATTTTCTGTCACAGATTGAAGTACCCATTACGAAGTACTACTACGAAATTTGAAACGATTCCGCTGAAAAATGTAGCTAAAATCATCAAAATACCGAATGTAGGGAGGTACCGATATATGGGGGCTATACGAACCTTAATAGACAAATTTCTGTCACAGGCTGTAGTATCTATTAGGAACTTGAAATACGAAATTTGAAAGTATTCCGGGGAACAGTGTGGCTAAAATCATCGAAATACCGAATATAGGGAGGTACAGTTGTATGGACCTACATAGCCTATTTTCAATACCAAAAGTTCTGCATACCAAAACACATCTGAGTAAAATTTTATCAACCTACTTCGTTCGGAAGCTGCAATTATTTCCACAGACGAACAGGCATCGCTAAATCGACATAGAATTTTATGCTGATCAAGAATATATATACTTTGTGGGGTCTAAAATGTATATTACGAGGTGTTACAAACGGAATGGCAAACATAACAACCCCTTCAATACTTTGGTAGAAGGTATAATAAAACCAGTTGAGCTTACATTTATGAACATACATACATGGATATGTACGTATAAATGTACATCCATTTCCCCACAAGACAATATAACACATTTAAGATAGCTTGCGACTTCTAAGAATTCACATTTGAAAAAGATTTCGTGTTTGATTCGCCGACACGTAACACGTAATTTGTATGCAATTAAACTTGTTTTTTTCGTTACCCTTTACGAGGTACATTTAGCAATTACATTCAATATCTAATAATAGTAGAGTTGTATGTTTATTAATTTATAATATTTCTCTTGTAGTTTTATACCAACCCATTGCTTGCATTAGCCCATCATCATTAAAACTAGACGTCGAATATATGTAATTATCCGGAATCTTGATTTATAATAATAATCACAATGGTAGAATGTTGTAAAGTATTTACTGT